ATGTAAAATTGTTTTACGTTGTGCTTCTAATTTTGCAATAACCATCTTTTACAAAGTTTGCACGTCAAAAAAATAAAAAAATTTTTTTTATTTCAAAAATTTTCAAAATAAATTTACATTATGCGCGCCATTTTTTTTGAAACACGCTGTATATATAAAAGATACCCCTTAATTACATCGAATAAATATTTTGAGTAAAAAAGCAACTCCAATAATAATAAATTATTATATAATAATTAATGATGTGATGTATGATGAAACTTGACTTTTTAGTCATTGACGTAAAATTAAAGTATTGACTAAATGTAGTTTCTCACTAGAGCCGTTTTGACGATATGACCAAAATAAAAAACCTTTTAAGTAAAAACGCTTGATACATATGAAAACACTTGATACAACCAAGCAATAATGATAATGATAAAATAGGATTATCAAAAGTTCCAAATGTGTCCTTGGAATGAATAAAGAATTATTATTATTGTATATACATTGCAATGATGCATAAAGGATAATTATCATGGGAAGTTTACAAATGTTAGAAGTAATTCTACTTAAATTTTTTTTCCGTGCACTTTTTTTTTTCAAATTAAAAATGTATCATCTTTTTTACAAATTAAAATTATTACATTTCATAAAAACATACATACGAGTTGTGTTAAATTGATTTTTTTTCGAATTTTTGACCTTAAAGTTAACTACACGTAATATCAATACTCAACAATATTAAATAATGTGCTAGAGTGTTTGAAATTGAAACACACAGACTTGTCAATATTGGTACTAGAATGACTTTTACATGAGACAAGTTTAGATGCAGGTGTTTGTGAGTTTTAATTTTGAAGTTTTAAAAATAGTAAGGATTATAAACAAAGAAAAAGAAAATTTTTAATATTTTTTATTGTTGAGGCATTAAAATCACGATGAATCGATTACTAAAGCTTTTTGATGAATTTTGTTGATGTCAAAGTAGTTCTTTAAATAATGCAATTTTTATTCAAGATTTATATTTTATATTATACCATGTGGATGGATAACTATCCCTATAGGGAAATTTTTTTACCAAAAGCAGAGAATTGTTTGTTACACGCCATTCAGTTCTCAACGAAATAATGTATGTTTCCTCATTACATCAAGCCAAGTTTTATATTTTATATTTTTATAATGTCATATAATAAATTATTATCACCAGAAAGAAGGGAATTTGTACTTAACATTAATGTTGAAATGTATAATAATGCTCAGAGTAATTCTAAAAGTGAAAGTAAAAAAGATTATATTCTTTCATTAGTCAAAGAGAACAAGGAGCTTTCTGAAAAAATGAAAAGGAATTTTGTAAAGAAGATTTTATTTATAGTTTTGAGTTAAGGAATGCAAGATATAAATGGGGAAAACCAAAAGAATGTAACAGGTGTAAATCAACAAGATACTCTGATAGATTCTGTGAAGGTTGTATTAATTTACAATTACAGAATCTTTTCACCACTTGGACATCTGGAAATAACACAGTTGATAATTTTATTCAACAATGTCAAATAAAATCATCTTTGCCAGGATATATTTTAGAATGGATACCTTTTGAGCAATTTGAGGATATAACAAAGTTAACTGAAGGTGGGTTTAGTTCTATTTATAAGGCTACATGGACAAGGGGAAGAATATTTGATTACATGAAAATAAAAAAGAATTTAGTTACTCTGGGAGACGAAAAGTAGCATTAAAAAATTTAAATGATTCAAGTAATCCAGGAAAAGGCTTTTTTGATGAGGTTGGTAGCTGCCATTTAAACAATACTATATTATCTAATGTTAATTGATTTTATATTTATTTTCAGGCAATGAATTATTGTAAAATTAAATCAGGGTTGATTATTAAGTGCCATGGTATAACTAAATTCCCAGATAATGGAAATTATGTAATTGTTTTAAATTATCGTCCAGAAGGAAATTTAAGGGGTCATTTGCAAAAAAATCATTTAAATTTAACATTGAAAGACAGAATTACAATTTTTAGATATTTATGTAATGCATTGAATGATATCCACAAAAAAGATTTAATCCATTGTGATTTACATAGTGGTAATATATTAATGGAAAGAGGTAATTGTTATATTACAGATTTGGGATTATGTGGACCAGTTGATGAAAAATCATCAAATAAAGTCTATGGAATTGTATCATATGTTGCACCTGAACTACTTAGAGGCAAAAATAACACCAAAGAATCAGATATCTATAGTGTTGGGATGTTAATGTGGGAAATATTTGCAGGTCATCCACCATTTGATGATAGAGCTCATGATCACTGTTTAATTTTTGATATATGTGAAGAAGGTTTACGACCACCAATATTACCTGAAATGCCTGATGATTATGCACAAATGATGGAGAAGTGTTGGGATGTGGATCCATCAAAAAGACCAACTATTGGAGAGAGCTTTTTGTCTTTGCTAAAAATAAGCATAGTGAAGTTTTTAAAAATAATAATACTACTGCTGGTGGTGGTGGTGGTTCACAACAAGTACACAAACCACATCCAGACGCATACCATACAAGTAGAATATTAGATGAAGAGATTGCTAAATCTAAAAGCTTAAAAAGTTATGCTAGTAATGATAGTTTGTTAAATAACCTTGGTTTTAATGAAGGTGGACAAAATTTCATTATTAATTAATTGGAAATTGCTATCCATTAATTATTACTAACAATATTTTTTAATTAATAAACATTAGATTCTAGTAATTAAAAGAAAGAATCAATGAATGACTAATTTAATCTCCAGTATAAATTCATTTTATTTTTATTTCATTTCTAAATTTTGAAGTAATAAAATTTTATCCTTGTTAAATGGTGATATTTAGGGTAGCTCTTTGGTTAATGCCGATTACGGCTTAACTTTTGGGCTACTCTTGTCAATTAATTGCTAGCAATTCAGTGCTTGTCAATTAGTTCTTTCTTATCACCTCTTTTACAAAGCTCAAAGGCTTCCTTTTATTCATTTGCAATCGATTTATTTCAGTCGCTTATCCTTGTTTATATTGTTTTGGTTTATAAATTCAGTAGCTTGTTTAACAACCTTACGTTTACGATTACAATAATACTAATAATACTACCATTACTTTCAATTAACCATTGGACAATACTTCATTAACGCCACTAGTTAACCAACGTTAATCCTAGCCTTGCTTGCAAATAAAACGTGATTTTTACCCATGCTCCACAATTGTTATCTTTTGCCAAGGCACTACACTTGTTGCTTTTATTAAAGCGCCTTAAACAAGAAAATAAAGACAACGGTTTTATTTTTAAAAGTTTATTAAAGATTAATTTAATAAAAATAATGATTCTATCAGAGTTTTATTTTCCCTTGCTTTTTCAAGCGAAGACCAAAGTTTACACAGTAATTTGATATTATAAAAAGTTTTCGCGTAAAAACTTCATTTGATGATAATTATGTATACGTAGGTCAACACTAAAATTAGTCGACCCTAGAACATAAAGCACTTGATCATGTATCGTGTTATCAATATTAATATAAGAAATATCCGAGTTTAATAATAAATGAGTGTGTGGAAACTGAATTTGTATTCAGCCAAAGAAAAAATTAGCATCTTGGGAAGGAGAGATCGGGATGCACAAGAAAAATATAAAAAAGAAGACTTCAAAGCAAAAAAGAAGACTTCAAAGCAATTTTACTTGCGTCTTTTTTGAACATAATAGTTTTACAACTTTTGTAACATCTCATCAAACAACATTAGTCTAAGAACAGTTTTCCCGCCTAGTTATTCTACTTTTTTACCTTTGGGGATTTATTCCATATTAATGATAATAATAATAATTTACCAACTATTTGTTTGTTCTTGTGATAAAGAATCTTATGGAGATGAACATGATTACCTATATAATGTAAAAGACAATAAATTCACACCACACTTTGATTTCAATCAAATATAAATAACATAAACCAATTTCTAGAGTAAGTATTATTTGAGAACCAGAGCAAGAGAAAAAAACACTGGTTGATGTTAAATAATTATTGTAAGCTTATTTTTTATTTACTCGGAGCGGACAATGAACCGATGACGTATAATAAAGTAGCACCCTTAATTACAAAGTCAGAAAAGCGGACAACAAATGCAGTCGAAGCTGTTGAACCTAAAAGCCGATGACAATGATCTTGGCGCCGAAGCACGCGGTTACAAAGTCAGCAAAACAATCTTGTCAATAAGGATCCTAGATAAAAAAGAATAGTTCTAGCGAAATATAAATCCAATTTACAAATCGACAATCTAGAAGACATTGCAAGTATGCTACATATATTTCACCCTTTCAATCGTAAGTAACAATAAATTTATACATATATGGGGCGTGTTGTGAAAAAAGCAATTTTGAGTTAAAGGTATAGTAAATTACTTGAAATATAGTTAATTTTCTTATATGCAATTCGTCACAAAGATTAATTCTAGCTTAGAAATTATACTTTTATTAATATAATTTAATAATCAATCATGATTTTTTCCGTGGTCCATTTCTATTTTCCCATATTAATATACGCTAAATATTTTTAAATTTCTATTCCTATTCGTATCTATCTCGTGTAACGATTCTGATAGATAGATAGATAGATGATAACAGTAATAAATAGTAATAGGAAATTATAAAAGGAATAGCAATATATAAGAAATATATAGTTGGAATTGATAGGTGGATGATTCCCATCTCATTAAAGAATAATTTAATGATGGTAATATTAATAATATAGAATTTGTTATATTTTGAACGTGGTTTCTAATGATGATATTGATGTAAGAGAATGACATAATTACTCGAAGGTTTGAACAAATTGAAAATTTCAAACAATCCAAGTAGATGAATAAAATTGAATAATTCATATAATTAAATCAAATGATTCAAATCAAATGAGTCATTCAAATTAAATGAATCATTCGAATAGAAACTCCAACTTCGTAACATTCATAAGGAATGGATTGAAAAGAACAGACAATGTGATATTTATGGATTCTGCTTTTCAACAAGTTAATTAATTGATTTTAGGTAATTACAAGGAACAAAATACAGATCAACACAAAAGATTTATCTGGATCATCACCTATTATTATCTTGCTCTTGAACTTGCCAACGCATTAAAAAATATGACCTTGAGATTTACAACTGGTAAAACAGATATAATAGTGCAGCCATTGGGTGAAATTTATTTCCTTTGCAACTGATTCTACACGAAGTGCACCACCAAAGGATTGTTATTAAACTAACATGTTTAAGATAATTTCTTGTCTCATCATCAGTGTTAAACCTTCACAAATTTTTCTTTTATTTGTTTTAATATCATCCTTTTTAAAACATTTTTAGTAAACCTTGTTAAACCCTTGTTAAACCCTCATTAATATACAACTACCAGTTTTATTATGTCTTTCAAGCAAATCTGGTTCTACTTTTTATCTAAACGAATATTTTTATCACACATATATATACATCTTGCAGTTTTTGAAACAATCGCTTTTTCCAACGAGATTTTATATAACCAAAAAAAAAATAAATTTACCCAATTTTATAAAATATACGCGATACTACATATTAATATGACCTTTTTGTTTCACCTATGATTTTCTTACCCACTTTTTCTATTTATTATATATCACACAAAAAAAAATAATAAAGCTTTAGTTGATCAATTATTAATTAGGAAATATGTGTTATTAAATATATAATTAAACATGTGCTATTCACAAGATATTCTAAACATCATCATCAACAAGCAATATTGATTTATAAAATAAAAAAATAATAAATTTTACAACTTTTTTTTTTGTTTTTAAAAGCAAAATTATCATGGAAACTGCCACAAAGTCTACATCGTCAAATATAAACAAAATTATTAATAATAACAATGAACAAAATGATAATGGTATTTATCAATCTATCAATTTATTTATTTTTTATTTTTTATTTTTTATCTTTTATAAAATTAATTTCAAAATTTATTCCAAAAATTTTTTTTTTTTTAAGAATTGGTTTTATTGAAGAATGACGAGTTCAGGGATAGATTTAATCAAAACATGGATAGAAAATTTTCGCTTGAAAGTAAAATTAATAAAAGAAATACGAATTCAAGTGGAATTGATGTGAAAAGTTTGGCACATTACATAATTAATCCTAAAGATTTACGAGAAGATTATCCAACATGGCATTACTTTTATCTTTGCACATTGATAGTTTTTGCATTCATCGCTTTGTTTATTATACCTGTTGTTTTTGGTATGCTGGCAATAATTGGTGGTATTGGCACTCCGTTTATTTTATCAATTTTTGGAAGCTTCTTTGGTCTTTTCCTTGGAGCTGTATTCGGTGTTGTATTTGCAGTAGTTTGTATTATTCTCTTATTTAAGTCTGTTGGTTGTGCTGCTGAATGGGTCTTGGAGGCTCTTTCGAATGGCGGTAACGATTTAGTAGAAATTACTAAAGAACAAATTATTCAATTTATTAAAAATACTGATTAATTATCATTATCGTTGTCATTATCATCATCATCTTCATTATCACTATCATTATCGTTAACATTATCATCATTATTATTATTAATTATTATTAATTATTATTATAAGTTATTAAAATTTATTAATGATATATAGTTTTCTTTACTGTGATTTTTAATCAATTCATATAAATCTCTAATGTTCCCTCTGGTCATTTGCAATATATGGCATGTGATTGTTTTGGGACTACAATTAGTTTTTAATATTATTTTGTTCATCATCTCTTATCATTGTGTTTATATTCCGAGTTTGAGGACTTGCATTTGGGTTCCGTCCAACTCGATGATATTACTATTACTGCTCTGCGGCAAACTCTTAATCGGTGGACACCCTTTTTTTTATATTCAGGTTTTGCTGTGTCACATGACAAAATAGTTTCGTGCAACCTAAAATTCGGAATATGCGTTTGTCTTAAAGTTAGGGCTTGTAGAATAATGATTCTATCAAATCCCTTCATTATATTTTTTTTTTTTGGAATTTGCTTCTTTAAGTGTCGTTTGTAGTTGTTTAGCTTCATACAGTGCCTGGATAAAAAGTATTGGCCATCACAAGTGCATAAAATTTCATGTTACTAAATTTTAAAGAATTTCGATTATCAACCAAAATCTTCAGTTTAAATCTAATATATAGTTGGTTATCCATTTTTTTCAATGTATGCTTTCCATCAAATTTATTAACGAATATTTTCCCATTCCTCTTGTTGATTCTTGGCTTAAAATTATATTAGGCCATCTACAAAGTGGCATTTTCAGCTCTTTTCACAAGTGTTGTATAAAGACCAATTAATTATTCAAGAGATTGATTACTTGCAAAAAATATTCTAATTTGACATCAAGATATTTATGTAGTAATGATTTATATTTTATACCTGGAAAAGATTTAATCCATATATCATATGTTGTGCTGAGCTACTTGGGAGGGGGGGGAGCAAATTAAAAATTAATACAAAGTGCACAAAAGAAACTGAATATTACGTTGGCCGGAAGCATTTGCAGGCCATTCACCGTTTGATGATAGAACCCATAATCATTGTTTGATTTTTGATATATGTGAAGGTTTACGACCACCAATATTACCTGAAATGCCTGATGGTTATTCACAGATGATGCATCAAAAAGACCAACTATTGGAGAGCTTTCAGAGTTTGCTGAAAATAAGAAATTCTTGATAATAATAACAACAACAACAATAATAGTAATAGTAATAATAATAGTTTAATAAAAAGGTTATTCAAATTTTCTAAAATTAAAAAATCATGATAGCAGCAGCAGTGGTAGCAGTTCACAAGTATACAAATCACATCCAGATGCATATCATACAAGTAGAATCTTAGATAGCGAACAAAATTACTAAACCAAAAAATGATAATTAATTAAATAATAATGCGAATTAAAACTAATTTAAGGTTATTTTATTTTTTAACAATAATCATTGTGTCATTGTGTGTGAATTATATAATTTATAATAAATAATATTTGAAATAATAATAAATTTTTTTATGGTTTTAATTCGCAGAAAAATATATTGATCAAAACATTTTTCTTGTTAAAGCCGCATTTGTGATGCTGAACATAGTACACAGACAGACTCAATAAGTCAGCCCGCAGTAATCAATTGTTTAAAGTACTCAATAGTATAAATTATGCGGCTGACTTATCGAGTCTGTCTGTGTAGTTGGTTTCATAAGTTTTCATACTATCAATGATTAGTTTCATTAATAATTATTGAAACTATTTTACATCAGGATCATTAACAACCATTGCAGATATTAATAAAAATTTATGAAGATGTCATTTTTTTGAGGGCTTTTTAATATATAATGAACATCTCTTTCTATTACTATATATAGTGAACAAAGACACAAAAAATACATATATGACAAGAAAGTTCATTATCGAGAGTGGGTGAACAGTATTTTTATATTGAAATAATCAAGAACTTACAAATCAAAAATTATATATATATAAATAATTTAAAATAATTCTATGTATATATATACAAAATTTTTTTTTTACCTTTTTTTGCAATATGTATATATTTTGGGTGACATGATCACTTGGTCTACCATGTGGTAAGTTGTCATTTTGTTGATTTGGTATTCAGCAAGGTTGACGTTTGTCTTTTTTAAAAAAAAAAAATTAAATAAAATAACCTTATATAATAAATAGGTGTTAAATTACACTAGTACTAGCAATTTGATTTTTTTTTTGCCCTCCCCTGTAATTTTATAATTAAATGATAGGCATTTCTCTGATTTATTCATTAATTGTTAATTAAATTGTTAGAAGTAGATCATCCTTATATGTTTCCTTTATTTCATCCAACTTTTGATTCATAACTTCGTCAATATGTTTATATGAATTTTCCAAATCTTCTGAAAACTATAAAATATACATTTTTTTAAATGACAAATAATCAAAAATTTTAATATGTGTATGTATATACCTACCAATCTCTTAAATTCTTTTATATGTGCTTCAGGAATCCCATTCTTTATATCTTTTTCCAGTATTTCTGATGCTAAATTTTTAACTTCAATGAGATCATTTCTTGCATCTTCAGCATATTTTTCTACTTTCTTACATAAAGTTTCTACAAGTGTTTTTAAATCTCTTATAATCAAAATAGAAAATTGTATGTTAATAATTTAACTTGTAACAATATTTTTTTTGTCAAGTTTTTTTTTCAAAAAATATTCACTTGCTTTTCTATTTGAATTGTGATAGTGTCACCGCAGATTATTGGATCCAAAACATGTTTAGACTCAACAGTTTTGATTATATTGACTATTGGATTCATTTTCTAAAGAATTAAAGTTCTCAACTTAACATTTTAAAATAATTAGTTAAATAAATAACAATGATATATATATCATACTTTTTCATCAAATACTTCTATTTGTATGGTGTTTGGATCTTTCATCGAGATTCTGGTTACATCAATTAAATATAATAATCTATCCTCAAATGAAAATGTCACTCCTTTAAATATAGCTAAAAAAAATATATACAATCATCCAACCAACAAAAAAACCAACAATCAATCAATCAAATCAACCATCATCAATTAAATAAAATACACACATATGTGTGCATGCACACCCACATACTTGGATCTGCATGTCCTAGACTTAAACGATTGCATTTTGTCTGTAACTTTTGAATTCTAGTATTTAACCTTGTCGAAAAAAAGGCTTGACTAAAATTAAGTTTAAGATAAGTTCTTTTCTCTAAATCGTTATTCCAATATTCAACATTATTTTTTTTTTCACTTTCACTTCTCTTTCCATCATAATCATCCACCTTATAATCAGGGTACTCGATAACAGGTTTTCTAATAAATTGTCTTGAAGTATCAATTCTCCTTGCTGTTGCCTGTTTCAATTTTTTCTTTTCTATGCTTTTTTTATAATTTCCTCTTACATATCCTCGTTGTTGATATCCAATTTGATTATTGTTACCAAAATTTATTAAAAACGAAATGATATTAAATTTAGGTTTTGATACAATCCTAATGATTTTATCACAAATAAATCTTTTCAATAATGTCATTTTTTTTGTCGAAAAAAAAAACAAGATGATAATAATCATCAGCCATATTGATAAACGTGCAAGGATCGACAATAATATGTCTATCCATATATGGGGCATGCTGCAACAAAATCAGACAAAAGTGAACATTGGTATTACCAAGGATTTCAGGGATCAATATCGTTTTTTAACATCACGATTATTATCATGTAATGTGATCATGATATTTGTCTAGACAAAAATAGTTAATATGAAACTCATTTACATAAGGTCTATTGTGGAGTACAGCACCATTAGAAGTATTTTGAAAAAGGAACAAGGTGAGAAAATTGTTCCTTACATTTTTTAAATTAGCAGATATCAAATCTTTGCAAACATATTTAGACAAAGAAAGGATTACCTATGAAATTTATCAAGAGGAAAGAGTTTTCAAAAGAG